CGTTCCAGTTGCACCTAAGCTAGTGTCCTCTAATCCTTGGGTGCAATGCCTGGCTATAATACCTTAGTCCTGTGTCCCAGTGGCGAGGAAGCAGGTTTCTGACGGAAGCACCCAGGCGGGGTGCCAGGCAGTCCGTCACACATTCTATCTATGAAGGTAAAAAAGCCCCCCCAGCCCCCATGATACTTATCTAAGCTCGATCTCAATCCAGTGATGTGCATGGAAACCTCAGCTCTCTCAGGTCTCTCCCTCCTCACTAGCTGAGACAAAACAGCGGGAGTCACTGACTCCCACTGCTGTCAATCACAGTTGTGAGGAGCAAGGCTGAGCTGTGCTCTGCTGTGTCTTATGGACTCGAGAGTGAGCATGCACCAGTGCCCCCATAGCAAGCAACTTGCTATGGGGGCACTGCTCAGGGGGACGGAGCCCGAAGCATTGGCGGGGAACCCAAGAAGAAGAGGATTGACGCTGCTCTGTGCAGAACCACTGCACAGAGCAGGTAAGTAGGACATGTTTGTTATTTCAAAAAATAAAAAAGAAGACTTTAGTATTACTTGAGGTTTCCCACCACATTTGGCCTCATTCACACAGACGTACCTATACATACACTCATGCAAGGGGCCATGTTTACCCGTACAAGAATCACAGGTGTTCCAAAGCAACTGTGTGTGCAGGCAGTCCCTTTTGTGTCTATTGAGAGGCAGCTGCTGTACGGACACATCCATTGGTTCCAATTTACCAGCCAAATGCAGACAGTGTGAGTTTGCTCCCACTCGGATCTTAAATTGAGACCAGTGGCTGTGTCCGTACACGTGGACGGATCGGTATGTCAGGTGATGGGGATGCAAGCTCCATTTTGCGGAAAATGCCAAGATATCTTCAGCTGCTTATAGCTCTGGATCTATTGATTACTTTTCACATACCTTTTTACTGATGATCACCTATGACTGTGATGATGGTCTGAATTGTCCAGGTTTGTGACAAGTTTACTTAAAGCAATTAACTAAGATGACCCTTTAATGGATCCCAGAATTCTTCGTCAGGTTGGTTGGGCTCCTTGGGTACATTTTATGCCTTTAATTGCATTACCAAAGACTGTCATGAAATCTTGAAATATTTGAAGCCAGTTACACGGAAATATCAAATATGAAATCTGAATTCCCCAGAAAAGGTAAAAAACCAGCCCAAAGGTTAGTTGCTGCTTGGATGAAACAGATACGGGTTAACAATAACTAGAACTATATCCAGACATTCTTCATTTCTCAGAGTTCACTTGTCGTGTGCCACTCCAGAAGATTGCTGTGTTTTATTATACATGTTAAAGAAACCTTGTCGCCAATTTATAAATTGCAAGTAAAAGCAATATAAAACTGAGTATTTCAAATGCCCACACATGCAATGTTTTTCCTGTCCATAGGTTATTTTTTAATCACTTGAAATGTGCCTTTTAAGTTGCTAGAAAATTTGAGTACTCCAGAAGAGTCATTTCCCTTTCAGAGCTCTCTTCATCCTTGCACATCATAGCTCCCACCCCTTCTGGGAGTGGCTCATTATTGTTTGTGCTGGCCCAGCTCCTCTTCCTCTCCCCCTCATCTCCCTACATAACTTTTATTGTAGCCTCCAGGGAGAGGAACACTATAAAACAGTGTTTCTTAAAGTATGGGTCACAGACCTATTTGCCACGAGTCTCCTTTGCCCAAGCTGCCACCCACCCTCTCTGTCACCCATGACATTTACATGTTGCAGCGAAGGGTGGAACCACAGTGCACAGATATTTTCAGGGGATGCAGAGATAAGCAGTTGAGGTGCAAAGGTTATCAATTGGAATGAAATTCAGGTTCGCCACTACTATGGATTTAAGTCACATCCTGCTAATTGGGGATTTCTAGTCCCAATTACTTTTCATGGCAATTTACTTTAATGGAAATAAATTAGTGGTCAAATGCACTTACAAGTTTATGATTTAAAATCACTTTTCTGTGGCCCAGAGATGGCTCTCCAGTCTAATCCAGGAACCCTCCTGTGGGGGTTAGCACTGAAACATGTCCAGGATGATGTGCAAAATATGGCCTCTATAGCAGCCGAGAGGAGAGTTCCTCCGTTAGTCAAAGTTTTACTGTATTTTCATGGTGACAAGATCCCCTTTCTCCACCCTGGTATACTAGGATGGCCTTAGACTAGGTTCACACCCGTGTGTTTTCTTTGTGTTTTTTCTTTGTGTTTTTTGTGCATTTTTGCAGCACATTTTCAAGCATGTTTTTGATGTGTTTTCATGCTTCATGCATTTTTTTGTAGGAGACTGGTCGGTAAACACAAAACCCTACCGAAAATGCATTTTCCATACACTTTCATTGAAATCTTTGGTTAAAAAAAAAAATGCACGTTCCTGCATGAAAAGAGTAATTGCACCTTTGCACCTCAAAAAACACACTGCATAAAACTGCATAGATGTCTATTAGACCCATAAAAAACCATGTTAAATCAATTGTCATGTGTTCTGAGCTTCTGAAAATGTGATAAAAAATGCACAGGTGTGAACCTAGCCTAGTCATTTCATACAACCAAGTGGAGTGTGTATCTTTTTGCAAATTACCACTAATTTGCACAGTGGCTAAATGGTTAGCACCTCTGCCTGGCAGTATTAGGTTGCTGGTTCAAATCCCAACTGTGGCACCACCTGCCTGGAGTTTGCATGTTCTCCTGTGACTGCGTGGGTTTCCTCCAGTTACTCCAGTTTCCTCCCACTCTCCAAAGACATGCTGGTAGGTTAATTGGCTCCTGTCTAAAATTGTCCCTGGTATGTGCATGTGAGTTAGGGACTTTAGATTGTACGCCCCTTGAGGGTTAGGGACTGATGTGAATGTACAATATATATGTAAATCACTGCACTATATAAGTACCTGAAATAAATTAAATAATTACTGCTAATATAGAACATGGAATCAGCATAGTGATTTACACAGGAAAGGACTGTTCATTTATACATTTCTGAAGTGTAATAAAATACATATGCTATTGCCATCAGGTCGAATCCGGATATCCGGGGATACAATCCCATTCTCATGAGTACAAATTATCATTATTTGCAGATGACATCCTCCTCACACTTACGAGAATCCCTACACCTCTTTACCCGCTTTTGCACAAAACTTTTAAACAATTTGGGGCTTTATCAGGCTATAAGGTCAACACGTCCAAAACTGAGGCACTTCCAATACATGTTTCTCCTGTTGTTCTTTCCTCCCTTCAGGCAGCCTTTCCCTACCGGTGGTGCACCCACTCTTTAAAATATTTAGGCACCAACCTTACTTCCTCTTACCAATCCATATACGAGGCCAATTTTCCCCCACTGTTTATAGCAATTTCTCGCTCCCTGAAACACTGGGATGCCTTGCCTATCTCTTTCCTCGGTCGTATTAATGTCTTAAAAATGATCGTGCTACCCAAACCTTTATATCTGTTTGCAACCCTCCCCGTACCCGTTCCTATGTCCAAGCTTCACTCCCTTCAGAAATCTTTCTTACATTTTATTTGGTACAACAGGCGGCACAGGATTGCTCGTTCTGTTCTGCTTTCCCCACGTTCTAGGGGAGGCTTGGGAGCTCCGGATATAATAACATACTATTTTGCAACCCACCTTCGCTTTCTTATGTCATGGTCCGTTCACTACCCTCCCAATACATGGACTGAGATCGAGTCTTTACAATTGTCCCCAGTTCATCTGTGTTCCCTTCTCTGGTCGACCTCGGCGGTGGATGTCCTTTCTTTTCGCCACTTACTCCTAGGCCCCATGCTTTTTTCATTGACTGTTTGGCAGAAATGTAAGGCTAAATTCACATTGGCTTCTCAATGCTCCCCATGACAAATATCCTTTATAACCCTAATCTTCCAGACAATATGGCCATGTCCTGGATGTCTCTCTGGGTAGTATCTAACCTTTTTCAACTACGTCACTTGGTACACCCGGTGACTCGTAAGTTACATTCATTCTCGGATCTCCAGAGGAAAGCCTCTCTACCCTCTCGTCATCTATATATATATACCTTCAAATACGCCACTTTTTCTCTACTCTATCACCCTCATTGAGCTTGGGGAAACCTACCCTCTTCGAACGTCTATGTATGGAAGGTCCCCATCAAAGGGGTATTGTCTCTAGCACCTATAAACTTCTTATGGAGGCCCCCCCTTTGTCCAATGACGCTCACCTTTATATGCGTAGGTGGTCTCAATTTATACAACGTGATATTGACTTATTAACGTGGAAGAAAATATGGGATAATGCATCTAAATCCTCTATTTGTGTGGTTTTTAAGGAAAACATATACAAGATTATGATGTTGTGGTACAAAACACCGGAAGTTCTTCATGTTTATAATCCGAGTGCTTCTCCTGCCTGCTGGCGCTGTAGTAGAGCTTCTGGCTCTCTTTATCATATTTTTTGGACCTGCAGCTCCATTGCTCCTTTTTGGGAAGAGGTCCGCTCCTTGTTGCAATCATTGTTGCAAGTTTCTCTCCCATTTGACCCACTGCATTTTTTGCTGGGCTTGCCATTCCAGGGTCTATCTAAACTAGCCAGAAAACTTGCTGCACATGTGCTGACCGCGGCCAGGAGAAGTATTCCTATGTGTTGGTTATCCTCTACCCCACCTTCATTGCCAACTTTGTATAAACTTATTACCGATGTAAGACAGATGGAGTGTTTGACTGCTTCACATAGTGGTTCGTTTGCTGTATTTGAGATGATTTGGCTCCCGTGGGATACCTTCTCTTCCTCTATGCCAGCCCAAATTGCAAGACCCTGATTTTTCTCGCACTGTTACTATATGACTCCACTGGTCTTGACCAAATGTAATCTTAGCCATCGATGTACCTCTATGTTTTGCTTGTTTTATTTTCTCTTTGTTTTCTGTAACACTTGATTTACTTGAAAACCAATAAAAATTGTTAATATGAAAAAAAAAAAATACATATGTAGGAACAGGGGCGGACTGACAACTCATGGGGCCCCTGTGTCCTTGCCCAAACTCAAAAAAGCCTTAGAAAAAGGTACCAGGAGAATTTAATGGGGCCCCCTACTGACCCTGGGCCCTCGGGCAGTGCCCGAGTTTCCAAATGGTCAGTCCGCCCCTGCGTAGGAACTTCTAAAACAATGGAAGGTGCATTTAATTGATGCAAATTACAGGTCAGAGAACTAGCATAGTGAAAAAAAAAAGACCCTTCATAAATGACTAAAGCATAAGTATAGATTCTACATAATCATAAAGAACACATTGTTACACAACCGTAAAGAAACTTATATAGCAACCAAAGACACACCAAGAGATTTTTACAACAATATTGGGAAATAAATAAAAGGATATTGTCTCATAGAAAAAGGATACTAACTAGAAATAATGGACTGAAAAGTGGCTTATTGGGGAACAGAATACTATACAATATATACACTATATTCTTCCAGAAGTGCATTTGTGAGGTCAGGCACTGATGTCGGACGAGAAGGCCTGGCTCACAGTCTCCACTCTAATTCATCCCAACGATGTTCTATCAGGTTGAGGTCAGGACAGGGGCGGACTGACCATTTGGAAACTCGGGCACCGCCCGAGGGCCCAGGGTCAGTAGGGGTCCCATGAGATGCCCCTGGTACCATTTTCATAGGCTTCTTTGAGTTTGGGCAAGGACACAGAGGCCCCATGATCCCCTATTGGCCGGAGCCTACATGAGTTGTCAGTCCACCCCTGGGTCAGGACTCTGTGCAGGCCAGTCAAGTTCCTCCAACCCAAACTGGCTTTAGAGTCCTGTGGCAGCGTGCTTTACACCACTGCATCCGACGTTTACATTGTACTTGGGGATGTAAGGTTTGGATGCACCTGCTCGGCCATTATTGATGGTAGATAGTAGGGATGTGAAACAATGAGACAAAGTAGAACACGTGACTGTGGAGTCAGATGACTACATGTTTTGGGGCGGGCCCCTTCATCACATGTGACTCACATTGGCTAAAGGGACTGAATATAAGGGGGAGCCAGGAATTGAATCAACCCCTGGACAATTAACCCCATACTGCCTAGTTAGTCCTGGGAGCCGGGAATTAAACCAACCCCCGGATAGTTAACCGCATATTGCCTGGTTAGTATTAAAAATTGTAATAGATTATAAATAAAAAATAAATAAATTGATAAATGAATACATGATTACACAATGTTATGAGGGTTGACGAAAAACACACCATGATAAAGTAAAACTACATAGAATCAAAAAAGAAAACAAAAAAGGAGAAAAACCAAAGGAACAGGGCAAAACACTAGGAGACACTAATATCTCTGTACTTTGCTCTATTCAGCTTTCCCTCAACCCTGACCAGTCTCCCAGTCACCCTTACAGCATGATGTTGCCACCACCATGCTTCACTGTTAGGATGGTATTGGGCAGATGATGAATGGTGCCTGGTTTCCTCCAGACATAACATTTAGAATTGAGGCCAAACAGTTCAATCTTGGCTTCATCAGTCAGTTATTCAGGTGCTTTGTTTTCAAACTCCAAGCAAGCTTTTGTGTGTTATGCACTGAGGAGAGGCTTCTGTCATAAAGTCCATGTCGGTGGAGGGCTGTAGTGATGGAGCTCAGTCAGAGTGATCATCGGGTTCTTGGTAACCTCTCTTACTGAGACCCTTCTCTACCAATTGCTGAGTTTGGCCAGGTGACCATCTCTGGGAAGAGTCCTGGTTACGCCAAACTTCTTTCATTTGAGAATTATGGAGGCCACTGTGCTCTTGGAAACCTTCAGTGTAGCAGATTTTTTTTTTTTTTCTTTACGTTGCCTTCCTCCGGTCTGGGCCTTACAATAATCCTGTCTCTGAGCTCTACAGGCAGTTCCAGTGACCTCATGGACTTTGCTCTGATATAGTATGCATTGTCAGCTGTGAGGCCTTTTATAGACAAGTTTGTGCTATTCCAAATCATATCCAATCAATTTATTTTAGCACAGGTGAACTCCAATCAAGGTGTAAGCCTCTCAGCAATGACCAAGAGAAATGGGAGGCACATGAGATCAATTTCAAATGTTGTTGCAAAGGGTCTGAATACTAATGCCAATGCAATAAATCAGTTTTTACTTTTTCATACATTTGCAAACATTTCTGAAGTTCTGTTTTCTTGTTGTCTTTATGGGGTACTGAATGTAGATTAATGAGGAAAAAATAAATTTAAGCAACTATGAAAAAAGTGAAGGCTATCTGAATACTTTATGAATGCACTGTGTATATATATAAATATCTGTATATAGTATATGTACAGTAGTTATATGGAATTATGAATTATATATAAGTGCAATGTCAGATTATGGTCAGTAGATGGCAGCAACTTACTTAGTTCTGACCAGCTTACTCCAACCATTCACAGGTTGGTCTGACAAGCTGATTAGAAGTATACAATGTATCTTCTTTTAGTAGCAACTTACTGGATGAGTTATACCTTCATATTAAAAACATGATAATAGGGAAAATATATTTAAAACGCCTGCCTGCACTGTTATTTTCTAGTACATTTTGGAAATTCTCCCTAAGACTCTGTTCACAATAGCGCAATTTCAGATGTGACTTGAGTTGCACAGGATCGCATGACAATGGAAATCACATTGTTTTCAATGGCGTCCATTCACATCAATGCAGCAGAGCATGCTGCAATTTTAGAAAAGGTTAACACTGTTCTGCTGCTGGCCAGTTTTACACACTGCTATATCATCTGCAGTCTCTTAGGCTACATTCACACTTGAGATCAGGGGCAGACTGACAACTCATGGGGTCCCCGGGCAATAGGGGATTATGGGGCCCCCGTGTCCTCGCCCACACCCAAAAAAGCCTATGAAAAAGCCAATGAAAGGTACCAGGGGCATCTCATTGGGCCCCCTACTGACCCTGGACCCTCGGGCAGTGCCCGAGTGGCTAAATGGTCAGTCCGCCCCTGCTTGAGATACTGCTCTTTTAGCAAGGGTGCAGAAGTACCATCGATTCTTAAATGGCACGCTCACACATTGGGAAATGCAGCGCATTTTCCTGCACACCAAATTGCAACACCATGTGCATGGCATGATTTTAACTCCTTCCCATAGGGCCTTTTGTAGGATGACAGCCAAGTGAGATCCCTATTATCCTGGGAGGATGTCATATGACTTCCTCCCAGGATTGCATCTCATGCGCACCCCACGGGCCGTGCTCTGGTGTGATTTGTCACCAACCGCTTTCACAGTGTGAGGAAAGTACTGCCGATAACCGGCAAATGTGACAGGGGAAATCTGCACTGATCACCAGGGCACTGATTATCAGTGCCACTCAGCAGTGCCACCCATTAGTACCCAGCAGTGTCTTCAGCAGTGTCACCCAACAGTGCCGCCCATCAGTGTCACCCAGCAGTGCCACCCATCAGTGCCACCCATCAGTGCCATCTGTCAGAGCTGCCCATCAGTGCCCATCAGTGCTACCTATCAGTGTCACCTCATCAGTGCCCTTCAGTACTGCCTATCAGTGCCCATCAGTGCTGTGTATCAGTGCAACCTCATCAACGCACATCAGTGAAGGAGGAAAATTACCTGTTTGCAAAATGTTATAATAGAAACAAAGAAAACCTTTTTTTCCAAATTGTTTGCTCTTTTTTTGCTTATAGTGCAAAAATAAAAAATTCAGTGGTGATTAAATACCACCAAAAGAAATCTCTATTTGTGTGAAAAAAATTATAAAAATTTCATTTGGGTACAGTGTAGCAATACTGCACAATTTGTCATTCAAAGTGCAACAGCACTGAAAGGTGAAAATTGGCCTGGGAAGGAAAGGGGTAAATGTACCTGGTAGGGAAGTGGTTAAAACTGTGCTACTAGCTGTGATTGATCACAGTGGTCATATGTATAGACTGGGCCAATCACAGCCCATCTGTAGCATGTGATCAACGGTTGCCAATCACAGTTGATCACAACACAAACTACTGAATGAATCAGTTTCATTCAGTAAAAATGCTTACTTATACCAATGAATTTCGTAGGTATAAGCAATCACAAGGTGTAAAAAAAAAAAATCCTGTTTACTTGCCCAGAGTAGTACAATGTTCTACAAGATTCAGGGAGTTCTTTCCCTGCGTTTTGGTAGGTAGAACAGCCCACTGAAATGCATGGGCTGCCTGCAGGCAGAATGCAGGTCACACAAGCGTGAACCTAGCCTTTATTCTTAATGAAAACCTGATAGAAATTGGCCAGCAGCAGGACAGTATTGCATCAGTAAGAACAGGGGCAGGTCATCTCTAGTCTATTACTATTTAATGAAACAGCAAATGTCATTATTTAAAGTTTAAGCTTACCTTCATGATGATTTTTAAAAAATCCCTCTATGCAATTCTGTATCTAGAGAATAATACATACCAGAGCTCCTCCCATTGTAAATGATGAAGGTACAGTTGCAGGTGATGGGGGACCAATCCAGAAAAAGCGCTGGCCCCTGCCTTTGGCAGGAAAGACTGAATATCACAATAATGCGCCCCTAGTGGCTGAGATGAGCTCAGCTAGAAGAGTAGACCATGCACTGCCACTAGGGGTGTCAGGAAGCAAGGTAATGAAGGGCCAGTGCTTTTCTGGATTGGTCCCCCAACACCTGCAACTGTAATTGGAGGACCGTCACCATTTACAACAGGAAGAGCTCTGGTATGTACTATTCACTGCATACCAAATTGAATAGAAGGCTTTTTGGAAAATCTCCATGAACTTACACTATTAAACTACCTGAAAAAAAAAAAGAAGTTATAAAAAAATAAAATGAATCAGATTAGGGATGCTGTTGCTGTATATAGGACAATCTAATTGTAAAGGCATAAAAATAAATTGAATAGTTAAATATGTGCCACCAGTGTACGCTGTTGATGATGAGACTGTCTGTGAAAATTGTACTGTTCCACAATAATATGTACAGTTTTGGGGCATCATCCAAGAATGTTATTTACAAGATGTGTGTATTTTCAGTGTTGCTGGAAAGGGACAGGATTACTTACAGTAAGTAACAGTACAGGATTACATTACAGTATTAGGATTACAGTACAGTTATCCCTGCCCTAACAGAACTGTCAACGCTGGACCAAGGAGAAAGCTGAAGACAGCACTGGAGAATCGAGAGGGTAAGTAAAGCTTCAACAATTTTTTATTAAATACAGAGAAAAGTGAAGAGTAAATGGAGGGTGAAATAATATTTAAAAAAAATAAACTTGGGCTTCTACTTTACCATTTCAAGCCCTGACGAGGAACGCCCCCCCAAACTCCTGCAATGCAGTCGCTTTTTAACTGAAACTCTGGAACAATAACTTATACCTGGACCTGAACACCTGTCTGGTGCTCTCCTTCTTAAATTCCATATAAGTTTGTATTGCAGTCTGTGTCTGGGAGGTCTAGCCTTACTATTTATCTCATCAACCTTTTTATCCAGGAGAGAAAGTGAGGGGGAATCCAAAATATTATGGCTGTCCTTGGCACAGGAGTAGAGTGGATATGTTTTAATAACTTATGGACATAGCTGTCAAATATAGGCTTTTCTTTCTATTTTCATGTTGTGTTTCTGGGGACAAAAAGTGCTACTGAGAACTCAGACAGCAATGCAAACCTGAAAAAGGTTCTACCATTTTCTTTCCTTTTAAATTCTTAATTTAGATGTTTTTGTTTTTAAAGACACCGTAGTAAGCTTATGAGTCACCAACATAATACATGCATATAGGCAAAAAGAATCCAAATACACATACATTTTCCCCTTTGAACTTTACAACCTGAAAAGAAGAGTTCTTCCCTTTAAACAGTTCCTCAGAACAATTAACTGAATTCACCTGAAGAATAAAAAATAAATCCAATATAACAATGTTCTTTGGAAGCATCTAAACCACCTGTAGTAATGTTCTCTCACAACATCTGAACCTCCTGTAACAAAGTCCCTTGAATGAATTTGAACCACTCATAAAAATGTTCCTCAGAATGATCTAAATCCCAACACAAATGTGCTTGATTAGACAGCTGTAGCCACACCTAACAATGTTCTTCAGAAGCATCTAAATACCTACCAACAAATTCCTCTGAAGCATCTAAATACCTACAATAATATTCCTTAGAATAATTTAAAGTACCTATAACAATGTTCTTCAGAAACAACTGAACCCTATATAACAATGACCTTTAGAAGCATATGAACCCAATATAACAAAGTCCTTCAGAAGCATCTGAACCCTCTATAACCCTGTCCTTCAGAAGCATTTGAACCTAAAACAATGTCCTTCAAAAGCAACTGATCCCCCATTAGAAATGTTCTTCAGAAGCACCTAAACACCCGCTAACAATATTCTTCTGAAGCATGTAGATTCCCATAGCAATTTCCCTTAGAATCATCTATACCACATGTGTCAAACACAAGGCCCGTGGGCCAGATCCAGCCCACCAGGCCATTTTATTTGGCCCTCCCAACTCTTCTCTAGCTGCTTCACCCTTCCTCATCTCTGCCCTACCTTGTCTTAGCAGTCGGCAGCAAAGAGGAGGCCAGCACTCCTCCACCAGATCCTGCACTTCTCCGTGCAACCATAAAGAGGCTTGTCTCTGCCCCCCCATCTCAACAGTCAGCAGCAGAGAGGACTACAAAATTACTCCTACAGATCTGTGCCTCTCTGTGGAGCTGCAGTACCCCCTCATCTCTACCTCCTGTCTCCCTGAAGATGAAGGGGGTGCCACAGCTGCAGGTGAGGCATTCAGCAGACTCCAGCAGCATACTACAGCCCTGCTCTTGTCCTCCTCCAGACCCTGCTGATGGTAGGGTGACTCTTGACATTGAATGTAAGTGGGGGTGCTCTGGACATCTGTCTATAATTATTAAGAGAATAATACAATTCTATGTCAGTTGAAAAGGAGGGTCACACACCGCTGGTGTCATCCACAAGAAACATTATGAAAGACTGCTCAGGCAGAACACCATGTTCTGTCTGAGAAGTCTTCAATAACGTTTCTTGTGGATGATACCAGAGATGTGCAGCCCTTCTTTTCAGACTTGTTACATGAGTGTGAGTGGGCCCCTGCCCTTCACAGCTCAAGTCTTAAGTTATTACTAAAACCAGTAATAATCAAATGCAGAGGCAATTATTTAATATGATAAAAATTAGATACATTTATATAGTCTTACAGAACAACTGGCCCTTTGAGGGCAACCATAATGAACACCCTATAAAAATGTGCTTTAGAAGTATATGAACCCCCAAAAAACAATGTCCTGCAGAAGCATCACTCTTTAAAAATGTTCTTTAGAAGCACCTGAACCCTCTATACAATGTTTCTTTGACCTATTTGTAAAATAACTGGTCTAAATTATTCTAAGTATGAAAGACTAGCAAGATATAAAGGTATGTTGAAATCTGGGAATGTAGTAACTGGTGATATGGGGCATTCATCTTCCTGTTACTAATAGATGCCTGATCCTTATATAACATTTCATTATTTAATCATCAGTTTTAATCTCTCATCAACCTTTCCCCTTGTCAGATGGTCACATTTTAACCTTGACCTGTATATTTTAGACTACGTAAATTTTAGAGAGCAATACCCAAAAGAGTTCTGGCCATACTTCTCATGTAATGTGAGTGCGTGTATTACATTTTCTGCAAAAGCCAGAATTTGCCTTTAAATGGTAAAAGTCATATCTACAGAAGCTCTCCAATAGATTATGTGTCCGGTTACAGCCAAAATACTAAACACTACTGCAGATGCTTCAGATACAGCTCGGAGGTACAGCAAAACAGTCTATAAAAAAAAGTCAGAAAGCATATACGGGGCAGCACAGTGGCTAAATGGTTAGCACTTCCGCCTAGCAGTACTAGGGTCGTTGGCTCAAATCCCAGCCATGGCACCACCTGCCTGGAGTTTGCATGTTCTCCCTGTGCCTGCATGGGTTTCCTCCAGTTTCCTCCCACACTCCAAAGACATGCTGGTAAGTT